AAGTACTTTTGCTCACGAACTTGCGACTACTGCCTACTGACAGCTGCTGTGCAAAGTTAATTAAAAATGGTTCCAAACTACTAATTACGAAAAGCGATATCAAAAATTTCAACGAGGAAAATTCTCATTGACCAAAAATGTGTCCAGTCTCACATCTGATTTCTTCTTTTGCGAAACTGTATTTTTTAGCGTTTTCGCTAAGAATGCTGTGTTAAATGGGCTTCAAGCAGGATTACAAAGCGTTATTCAAACTGTAAATGTTAGCTAATTTTTAATTGAAGGTCAAAAAAACTTTCCAGTATAATACATTGTTTTTGGTTATTTTTATTCCTGCTCGGCTTAAATTAGTCGATTTCCTCTTTTCTTAAACCTTTTGTCATTTTGTAGCCTTTTCCGGGCAACTCTGATGCCTTTTTGCTGCAACACGTGAAAAATACTTCTATTTCCTCCCACAACTTGCTACTGTTTAAAGCCGATGTAGGCATAAATATTTGAAAAATGGAAGAATTCACGCGATAGTCAGTTGCTTAACATGCTGCATAGTTTTGAGCAAAAGGATACAAGCAAGCTACCAGGAAAAGAATCCAAAACGGATAGAGCGTAGCTTAGCAGAACGAAAGTTTTGGAATCACATATAAAAATTTTTTTTAGAAAAAGATACCCGAGGAAGAAAAACCAATACCAAATATTGAACAAAATAAAAAATATCGGAAATATCACTGATGATATCTGAAATTTAATAACAGTTTTTTTGCAGCACTGAGATCAAAAAAAAAAAAAAACTGTAAGGTACAAAGACATCATTCAAGGTCGAAATTTTTCATTCACTTTTTGGCTGAAAGAATTCGAAACAATTATAGATGAGCTTCTGCTACCAGTAATTTACATCAGCTAAAATAGTTTAGGGCACACGCATAAACGCACACAAACACACACGCAAACTCACAACGCACATACACAAACATTTGTAACACACATACACACAAACATATATGTGCCTGATTTTGCGTTCTGTTGCAGCGCAAATTGAACTTTAGTTGAAAAAATTTCAACAAACGTACCCTATCGAGTTTATTTGCTGTCCACACTGGACATTGCAAACAAAATATTGAACAGTTACATCTGTAACAGATTGAAATGCAAATTTTTTAAATTTTACACTTTTTTTAGTCGAAAATAATTTTTGCAAAAGCCTTTTTAGTATACCAGTTTATGCTGAATTCCTTAGCAAACATTTAAATTTAATATTTTCTTAGTTTAATATTTTCACAGTTCAAAGTTCTTTCAAATTAATTTTTTTTTAATACTGAAATTGCATTTAAAACTCGTTTCTCTTATCCCATTTACGCGGCGATTGACCAGTGAGCGTTTGTAGGAGATAATGAATAATCGGAAATTGAATTCTCCCTTTTAAAGTAATTCGGTAAATCACATAACGTTGATTAAGGAAAAAATAAATTTAAATAGCAAAAAAGACAGGCCTGAGAGTAATAGTGGACCCGTTCCTCCACATGAACCCGACAGCAGCCAGTTCTATCAGTGACGCAAAAATAAAGGCCATTGAGCTCAAGATCCATACATCGATAGCTTAAAAATACATGAACAGCATATCTGCAAATGCAAAGAGCAAGGCTAAGATTCCCAGCTCGGTTCCCTCTCTTGTCTTTCTGATTTTGATTACGTTATCATTAGACGCTGCTTGTATGTCACATTTTGTCTATATTGGCATCTATGGCCTCATTTGCCACCGATCCCCTTCTGTGGTATTAAATGTTGATATGGGTGATATAGACTATACCAGCTTTATCAGCGTTTGGTACAACAAATGCCCACCAGACAGTTGAGGTTGATTAAAATGTGATGCGCAGGGAGATTCAGCCATTAGCTTGCTTATCAGATATGGACATAGGATTGCGGAAAAATGAGCGAAACATACAGTATAGTAGTGCTTCTAACCCTACTACAATTTGAGTACTAGGCACTACGTTTCTAAGCCGCTCGGACCAATAATGTAGAGCTCCTCATGTTACTATGATGCAGCCCTACGCTGAGCATAATTATGAGAGACCTTGCCGCTTTTGGAACACCATACCAGTAATGTATGCTATTTTATAAGCTGCCAGTGTCATATTTAAGCATGATACAAGAAAATCACCTTTCACATCGCTCGTTTTAGGCAGGTTGCTGACAACAGAACCGAACTGAAATCTGCAACAAGCACGGAGTTGAAGGCAAAAGGTATGTGCTCCAAAAATCTATGTCGGGGTTAACGTTACTAAAAAAATTTATGGAATAAAATTGTCAATTTCAAACTTTGCAGAACAGTACTGACTAATTAAACGATGAGCTCTTACGTGAGAGCGAGAAGCGAATTGACACCGAGTGTTGTCCGCGAAGGAAGATTTGGGCCCAAATAGAATGATACCTTTAACAATATAAATAGTTAGCTATGTGCACTGAGAATTCTCCTTCTAGAATTTTGTTAATAAGGGCTAAACTTTAATATATGCGCTAGATGCGGATTCTATTAGATCTATATTGCTTTTTGTTTTGTTATTTTACAGATTATATTTCGCTGGTTATGATTATATTTACACAGTGCTATCATGTTTTGCGCCAGCGCCAAACTCTGTAAACACATTTGAATGCATTCACTGAAGGACTTTGATGCATTTATCTCAGTGAAGTATTTTGCTCTGGACTGTGAGGAAAAAAACTTACCCAAGAGATGAACACAGAGATGTAAGCCGGAACATATACCTGAAAAGCAGTGTCTCTGAACAGTCACTTAAATTCCACTTCGAAAAGAAAAACAGTCTCAAAAATTCCTTAGATAATAACTTCTAAAAAAGGCTCCAAAAAATCCTCAAAGCCTCTCAGCAGCACCTATCACTGAGCGTTCAGTATATTCTCATAAATATAAGCTAAATAACGCAAGTTGAGTTAGCAACTTAAAGCAGAGATGGAGCTATTTTTAGTTATAAAATCAATTAATTCAAGTCCATTGCAAAAAGTATCAGTCTCAAAAATTCCTCAGAGGATGCCTTCCAAAAAGTAATCCAAAAAGCTCAAAATAATAACCCCTAACGCATAGTTCAAAAGGCTCAAAAAAACCTTATTGTTCGCTACTTTTCACAAGTAATTTCTTGTATTAGTTTAGCTTTTGCCAAACCAGATGTTTCACATAATTTGAGCATTGTTTTCGTAAGTCTAAATAAGAATTTATAAACGCATGCCTGCAATATGTAAAAGCCATAGAGTCGCTGGAATGTGAATGTTGCAATTAACTCGTTCCATATTCCAGGTGGATAAAGCTAAAAATTTGCAAAATAAATAAATAGATTCGCAGTCCAAGTAAATGAATGAACAAGAAATTTTACGCGTGTTTCATCCGAGAAGGATTACCATTTCTGAATTCGACAGGTTTTCGACAAGTTTTCTCATCGTGGATCAGAAGTAGAGACGTTTGGGGCGATGCTCAGTAAACACCGGTAACACCTCAAAACAGTTAAAGCCATACAAACTGCTTTTAACGCTATTTCTGCTGGTCTTTTACTTACCTGTGCACCAATCTAAAAGAATTTGATTTGATTCGCTGCTATTATCCAGTGAAATAATCATGTTAAAATTCATTTACATGATCAGCGCTGATATGCTAAAACGGCTTATATCCTCACTATCAGTGTTTTAATAAAAGCCTGTTCTCTGGAATATTTTTGAAAAAATTAGCAATTCCACTCACTCGTCTAACACTGGTTGCTGCAAAATCAACAAGTACGTAGTCGGGCAGTGTTATGTTATGCTTCAAAATAGTTATCGGAGGAGCTGTTTCGGTCCATTCCATTGCAACCTGCAATATATCTAAAGTATTTTCTATTCTTAGCGCCCTTCAATGATGTAAAAGCTGGAAAAGACTAAACCTGATCATAATTATGATTGAACGATTCATAAAACAACATGCAACGCTGCTTATCAATAGGAAATGTACGCAAAGCGTTTGAGCATGGACCAGTTAGTTTGATCCTGGAAAAAGTCCCAAACTGAAGAAATTATTCAGTGGCAGCGCGAAATACATACATTTCATTTGACATATTGCTAAAAACACTCAAAAATATTCGAAATTTCACTTCGGAGAAATGACGGAATAAAGCAGCCTAGATCGCCATAACAACTACAAAAAGGCTGCTCACAGCGTCAATGTGCGAGGAAAGATATGCTGCGGTGAACAAGCAAAGCAATAAGTTATTGAATGAAAACGAGCCTGTAATTATGCCATACTTCA